AGACTCGCCAAAGTGACTTGACTTACACGACGCCAGCAAAACCACACCAGTCTCGCCAGCGTCGTTCTTGTCATCGCCAACCTCATATCCTGCTTCCTCCTACGAATACACATCCGTCCCTCGACTATCGCCGCACGTGTACGAATACGTCACGGCCCTGGTGCATTCACCTCTTACAACCTTCTCTTGGGTTGTTGTTGGAATTGCATTGCATCCCACCCTCATTCCTCACCTTGGGCTCTTCATCTTGTTTGCCCAATTAAGCTAGCGCCCATCTAGTCCCCAGGTCTTAATTTGGCACACCTGAATCCCAAGCTTACGGCCCTCAGCGCGCTCGACGGTGAGCCACTCGCCCTCCACTTATATCGTCACCACACCCGCCTTGGCCGCCTTTCCACTCCATCTTGCTTCAGACCGACGCCGGCATCTAGACATCGCGGCTCGGCCTGCTGTTGAGCAGTTGAGCACGGTCTGATCGGCCGCAAGCTACACCCACAAACGCCCCGGCTGGAGCACCCTGAAATATCACGCTATGGCACCCCAAAAATTCGCCAGTATGCGCTTGAAGTCCCGGCCTACGCTCGTACCTTTCAAGGACGATGCTAGCCTCATTGCCCTTCGCTACGAGAAGACGGTCCAGGCAGAGCCTCCCATCCCTATTCTTACACGACTTCCCCAAAGATCCCACTCTTGTTCAACGCGGCGAACTTCCACTTCTGCATCATCATCAACTTTCTCGAGTCCGCCATCCAGCCCCGTCGTTGTTGCTCCTCCGCCCGCCATCGACCAGCATCCTGCATTTCGCTCCCGCGCCGCGGCCCGCAATACTACGGTAAACGATTGGAAGAGAGATTCAGGGCTGGCACCTACTGCATCGTCTTCGGCCACCATTGCAGAGGAGGACTGCGAGGACGAAGAGAGTCGTGCATGCGCCAAGATTGCTGCTCTGGAGGCCAACACGGTTGTTGTGGTAAAAACGGAACAACCTGTGACACCTCCGGTTTGCGAAAGTACTTCCGTCGATGAGTTGGTTTTGAGCAAACAAATCTCTGGTCGTTGGTCCGCGCCTTGCATCAGCAAAGAGGTCGACAGCATGGATCATTATCAGAATGTGCAAGTCGAAATTGCGGTTGCGGAAAGAAAGAAATCTGAGAGTCTTAGCAGCACCTTATCGGTCGATTCTCCCGTCGAGTTGCGGGACAAGAGTCTGGGTGACCTATCACCTGCATCGGCGCCAATCATCTCCCATTCGCGGTCCTCATTTGCAGCCTCCGATGACTCGCCTAATTTCTCCCCTGTCAACATCCACGAAGGCTTCCAACTCCTGAGCAAGGATGCTTCTTACTTCTCTCCCATTTCAGTGTCCATCCCCACGGACAACCTCCTCGAAGATGACTTCCTAACAACTCTGTCTTTCTCCAATCGAGGCAGTCTCATGTTTGGTGGTCTTCGCGCATTCCCCGCACAAACCACCGACGGAACAATGGATGGACAGTCGCAAACGGACAAAGCCCACGCGCCTCCGCCAAACCCCCCTGCTGATGCCCCTGCATCGGCCCCCATCCTCCACATTCAATACGAAGAGCCGCCCCAGTCCACTGCCGCCAGCACCACTGAGACCAGCGCCAACCACCTGAACGCCACCGACACAACCACAACCGAAGCAACGACGGCAGAGACGACGACGACTGACGCAACAACGGCAGAGACGACTGCAGAGTCGGCCTCGCAAGCCACAATGACGACCCCCAGCATCTGCGTCTTGTCCGCGGACGTGGAGATGGAATCTCGAAAGGTGAGATCGCTCTATGAATCCGGCGAAGGCCTCAGGTGGGAAGACGGAGCCCGACCGTCGGATGTTGGCGAGCGTCTCAACTCGACCGCCGAAACTCCGACGGAGGAGGTCGAGAATGATCCGTATGGTTTCCTTTTGCCCGGATTGGTGCCCAACCAGTATGCTAACGCGTGTCGTCTCTGCAGCGTCGCCGAACTCCAGCCTCCCGTTTGGGGAACTCCAAGATCTGGAAGTTCTTATTCCCAACGACCCGAAACGCGCAGCGAGTATGAGGTGGCCGGTGGTCTCGAAGACTGGGAAGACCTCGAGGGATTCGACATCGATCGTTACGGCTTCATCAGTCCGCGCAAGCCAGAGAAGAGCAACGGCACACCCGCTGAACCTAGATCGTCGCAGTCGGCACCCAGAAGGAAGCACGTCTTTTCCAAGCGAGATGCCTTTGGGCTGGGCTTGCCATCTAGAGGACCCAGTAGGAAAGTGTCCGCTAGATCGCTCAATACTCAAGGGTCGAAAGCTTCGGTTGCGTCTCGTCGGTCGACACGATCCGCAATCAGACAAGCAGGAAACCTACTCCCACATAACCGCGATCGACGATGGATGGACGAAGCTGGAGAAATGCTTTCGCTTTCATTGGGCGATGAAGAGAAGGTAGAGAAAATCTCCGAGGCCATTAAGAAGAAGGAATGGGAGAGGTCTGAAAAGTGGCGTAAAATGGCCAAGATCGTTAAGAAGGGGAAAGACGGTGAAGGCATGGAATTCGATTTCGATGTTAAGAACCAAAAGCTCATCGACAGGACGTGGAAAGGCATCCCCGACCGGTGGAGAGCATCTGCCTGGTACTCGTTCATGGCAACTAGCGCCAGAGCTCACAAGGACTCCCCATCTGAGGATTCCATCATCACCGACTTCCATCGCCTTCAGTGCAGAGGCTCGCCAGACGATGTGCAAATCGACCTGGACGTCCCTCGTACCATCAGCAGGCACGTCATGTTCCGGAAGCGCTATCGAGGTGGTCAGCGCTTGCTGTTCCGAGTCTTGCACGCGTTATCGCTTTACTTCCCGAATACTGGCTACGTTCAAGGCATGGCTTCGTTGGCGGCAACATTGCTCTGCTACTTTGACGAAGAGAAGTGTTTCGTCATGCTTGTACGCATGTGGCAACTACGGGGCCTAGAGAAGCTGTACAGCCCTGGCTTTGACGGCCTGATGGCGGCTCTGAACGACTTTCAAACCAAGTGGCTGGATGGCAAGGACGTCGCCAAGAAGCTGGTAAGACATACACGCGCCTCTCGACTGATGACGTTGGACTGACCTTTTCCAGACTGAGCTCTGCATTGATCCTACAGCCTACGGTACCCGGTGGTACCTTACACTATTCAACTTGTCCATCCCTTTCGCGGCTCAGCTCCGCGTTTGGGATGTCTTCCTGCTTCTTGGAGAAAACCCCACAGACTCTCCCAAAGTGCCTGAATCTCCCGTCACCATGAACGGCATCGACATTCTCCATTCTACTAGCGCGGCTTTGATTCACGCGCTGCGGGACGTTCTTCTTGACTCGGACTTTGAGAACGCCATGAAGGCTTTGACCTCTTGGATTCCGGTCAAAGATGAGGATATCCTGATGAAGGTGACACGAGCCGAGTGGAAGGCCCGACAGAAGAGGAAGTAGAAAGCCTTGTTTCTGCCGCCTGCTTGAGCCTCGGTTGGCCGACTCGTTCCCACATTTCCTTTGTTTTTACACCATGACCTCCGATTTATGGATATGCGTGCAAGGCGTTTATGGAGTCGGTCATGTTGACCTCGACGGATGTCGTCGACCAATACCCCGGGATGAACTGCAAACCTCGTATCTGCTGTTACGGGCAATTTCATTTGTGCGCTTGAAACGAACGAAATGCTGGAGAAAGCAACGTGGGTTGCGGGGCGCGCCACCAAAAAAGCGATGCGAGAGCCGCAGCACGAATTTTTCATATACCCTTTATGCCATACAATAGCCCGGTGCCAACTTCATATACAGCATCAAATCAATATATAATGTGTTATTCGAGTATAAGATGCTCTCAACGTTTCTCAGTGTCTACTCCAGCTATGCCAAATGTTATCCACCTTTGAGGACACGGTGAAGCCAGATTCAGAAACCGCTTTATCCCACCTTGTTATCTACCTTCTAGGCCTCGCCAGGCTTTCCTGTCTTCGTCCTTGATGATTCTACTCTACCCGTCGGTGTTGACGATGCAGTGACAGTCAGAATTCCCATGCAAACGAAAAGCAGGCCACCCTGGAGAAAAGGATGATATAGCACGGCAGTCGGGCTGTTTGTGCCTGTCCAATCTTCATCTAACGAGCGTCTGCCGGCCTCCCCTTTTCATGACGGTCTAGCTGTTATTACAGTGAGCCCGCCCTGCGTGAAAAAGGCTAAGGAACCTCAATTTGCTATTGTATTTGACACTATTTGGCCATCCCATTTTTGTTCGTCGTTTCGGAGTATGTGAGAGCCTTGGGATAACGTAGTCCTTTACGATATCAGTATAGATCTAACTTCATTATGTCGAACCTTTTATCACGACTTGGTCAAGAGGGAGGCCCTACTGATATGCATTTCAGGGCTGGCTGATTCGGGCCACGATCGATCATGAGACGTTGACTGTGTGTAACAATTGTGTGACGTTTGCAGCTGCAGCTGAATTTTCAGCAAAAAGTCATGGCTAGAAGTACACATAAGGATGCACTGAACCCTTGATATCTTATCGTAGCTGAGTTTCGAAGGATTCGTCAAGTCAATTTGATCAAGCCTTTGGCTTGTTGCAATAGATAATTAAGTAAGTTGGGATTCCACGATTCGGTGTAACGAAATGCGTCAGTTCAATAACAAGTCAAACATCAACTAGACTTTATGATGACAAATGGTTTCGTAGAACAGGCATCGACGCGACTTGTAACTGATTGTGGGACACAAGGCTGAATCACTGTCAGACTTGATCTACAGATTCGCCTCGCTGGATCTCGGTAGTAGCGCCGACAGCCTGACCACGAAAGATGATCGATCGTACAGATCTTATGGATCGTCCTATTAAACGCATCAAAACTGAGCTATAGTAACTCGAGTCGACACCCTCTAGACTTGTTCTCCTTATCAATTATATTACGTACACACACCCAAAACGAAGTATCTTTAGATATCAAAGCAACCGCTACACATTCAAAGATGCTCCAGAACATCCCTTTCATCGCCCTGGTACTTGCAATTACAGCATCAGCGGCTCCCCTTGATGACACCAACCATCTCAACAACGCGGCCTCGGGGCTCAAAAGACGACAGGTCATCCCTCCTCCTTGTATCCCCTACATCAGAACGCTGAAGCACGGCGACGGGAACCCCAAGAAGAAATTCCTACACAAGCAGGTTACCGTGAGTAAGAATGAAAGCTTTCGCAACTTCCAGCTTCTCATCAACGTGTCAGACCACGCACAAATGCACCGACGGCCCATGCGGCATCGAAAAAGAGGACAGCGAGACCTACACAAAAACGAATGGAGCGCCTCCATCGCCGACCCGCGGGGCTTCTTCAGCGCCGGCTTCGCCGTATCCCAAGCCATCACGACGGGTCAGACGCAGGTCTGCAACAACAGTGACGACACGGAGAACCAGTCGCTCTGCGTGTCGTGGTCGATTGCGCATACCGAGTACGAGGTCCCAGGACTGGGAGATATCGGGCTGCGGCAGTTCAAAGCCGAAAAGAGGATGTGTACAGCATCACGGCGCCGAACTCGGACTTGGGAGAGAATACTTCGTATTGTGTGAGGAATAGCTGTAGGGGGGACGGGGAGGAGTACTGGGCGGATAACTAGGCGGTACGGGCTGATGAATTGGGGGGTTATACGCAGCCAAGTTTGGTACAGTTCTTGTTGATCATGCTCTCGTTCGGCTTTTGATTAGGGAGTTATATGAGAATAGGTGGCCGAAATCGTGATGAAGATTCTGTTGAGAGTAGCCGCCAGGGGGGAACCATCACTTTGTCGATGCAGGGTAACGACGCTTGCACTGGCTCAAGGATTATCTTCTGTATGTGTTCGACCCATCGTTGTTTCTACGCCGATTTCACGTCTTGCCCTTTTCCCAAGACGGTGTGACAATGAAGGCGTCGTTCACAGGTATACAGGTAAGTTGGATATGGCTGTCAAACCCCCTCCCGGAGTGGCATCTGGGAAAGCAAGACGCCGAATCACGGTCCCTGGATTCAGTAACCGAACTTGGTAAAAGCAACGTTTTTTAGTATTTCAACCATTGTGTATCTGCATTCTGCAGTCCCTAATCTATAAGACAAAGTCCACAATCCAAATCCATCCGGAAGACGAACGAGTCCAGTATGTAGCCACCTGCTATCACTTCCTCTATTTGATAGAAACCTACTCCGCCAAGCTACTCGATCTACCTCGCAGTACCTGTTCCAGGTTGAAACAAGCTGCAAGTTCACCACAGTTAACATGTCGGGCTCCTATCGTCACGCCATCGTCACCCACCACTACAGAAACATCAACACACTTCAAAAAAGAAATCAAAAACATACAACACCAGGTATTCGCTGGTCGTCACCGACCCAACTACTAATCCGGCCCTCATTGGCTTATCTATGGGAGAGCGGACGGGATCCCGAGTTTTCCAATGGGTATGGTCGTATGTGCTGGAAAGTGAAGTCAGAGTTGACTATAGTCCGCGATATTGCAACAGCCACATATCACGACTTTGCCAAGACTTGGGAGAAACATTTATCCATAGATGTCTTACCATTGGCACTGCATCTAACTTGTGTTCAAATCTTATTCTTCAAGACTTGGGTTGAGTATGTGGCTCATCACAACAGGAGACCCTCTGGCTCGTTAGTCCTGATAGATCATGGCTCACACCACGTCTCTATACATGCACGGCCTTATTCTTTACCAGTTTCAGAAAGAGGCAATTTGTAGTGAAGGCTTCATCAACAGTAAGTGAATCAAGAAAGGCGAGATGTCTTGAGAGAGCTGCCTCTTGTTCGTGTTGCTTTCTCATAGTGTGTAACACTATCGGAATGTCTTGACAGCACAGCGATGGCCCAATAGACAACGAGCATGGTTCGAAAGAGTCACAAAGAAAAGAATATGCGACTAATTCATCAACAGGAGAAATCTCAGTAGGGTGAGAATATGAAGCAGAACGCTGTGGAGTGCCATTTGCTAATCAGTTGGACTTTATCCCCACCCATAAGGTCCTACACGACTTACACTGAGTACATGGCTCTTGGCTATGCCAAACAATTGCAGCGACCTAAATGGGAAGTAGTCAAATATTAATTGTCTCTATTGCCTTGGTATTATCCTCAATATCAAGGCATGCTGCAATACATTGCATATATAATAACCGTGTCGATTGCTCCGGTTGCCGATATTCCATTGCTTCCACGGAAAGCTCCTTGCCCAGTGAACGATGTCACCTCAATATCCGAGGTGTCGAAGCAGCAATCTCGTCGAACAGCCGTGAACTCGTTCGTCTGCGTAAATGTCCGCAAATGAGTTCCAAGCAAGGTCCAAACCCAACTCGATGGCGGCTGTCCTACCTAATTTCACCCAAGGACGAAAGAGAAGCTCCTGTGTACGGTGTACCCCTAGCCTTGCCAAGTGGGTGACATGATAGGTTGTCGGTCTATGGTACCTTCACTCTGCTTCTAGAATGCCTATTACTACTACTGTCGCTGCTGCCATTGTTATTTTATGTTTTATGGATATTCATTAGGAGATACGCCTTAGAGAGTACACGATGCCAATGATAATGGTAAAGAAGGCGGCCACGTGTGGGCCGGCATCCCATTCCGTCTCACACTTGCGTGCTTCCCCGATCTGGTGCTGGTATGTGCTTAGATCTTGCAAGCCTCTTGATACTTTAATTCTCCTGGCACTGGGGTATTATCGTATGATCTTGTGAAAACCGGAATTCGGTCGTTGAATTCCTTGATAAGATGCGTCGTCCGTCTTCGATAAGGGGAAAGATCAGCAAGAGTCCATCTCCATTCTCCAACTTCCAAGGCTCCAACGTGGGAAGAGGAAACCCCATTTGCTGCGACATCAGGTTTCTTTGTACCGTGTACTCCGTACCAGGCTGGGCATTCCTGACAGGTCGGCAAAACTTGCAAAGTTGCATCCGACGGATGATTTTCCAGAATCGGGTTGGTAGAGGCGGCTGGCCACCTTTGAGGGTAGTATCTGCCAATCTGGATCGTTGATGGTCCCTGCATGGTGGCCCCCAAGACTTCCCGAGTCCCAAGTGATGCGTCAATGAAAGAGGTTTCACCATCGAAAGGGTGGAATAGAGGACGTTGATGGGCGCATGGACGTGGAGAACAAACAGCCAACTCCAAACTCGATGTTGCAAATAACTTGGTCGTGATTGTTGACGCCATGGGCCATGGCATCGCTAGACATCACTGGCAACTTACACATAACCGAGTCAAGAACGCCAGAGATGTTACACCGGGTAGTATTGAATCGAGTCATTCCATCTAGCTAAGTTAAGGATTCCAAGACATCAAGGTTAGACAGACTACTCCGTTCTACTTACTGGATGTATTGTGCCAATAAAGCAATTTGCTCGCGTCTTAGGCCGCAACACAGCAAACTCACCTTTGCTAAGCGCGAACAAAAACTGACGCCCGAAGCGCATAGGTAGTGAGTCCAATGCTGTACCACTGGAGAGAAAAAAAACGAGAGGAAGAAAAAAAAGACACGGACACCGGTCGGCGCTCTGGATTTCGGTTCTCAACACGGCTCTCCCCCGTCCCGAGGCTCCCCGCCTGGGTAGCTTACATCTCACCCCCCCACAACGCTTGAGCCCATATCCGTGCGCGCCGCGCCATCACCACCGGCCGGCACAGGGCAGCCCTATATGTGGTGGTTCATTAAGACGAACCTCACCTATTCGTACGAATGGCCCCTTCTCTCCTGTAATAGCCGAGATATACACTTTCGGTCAGGTAAACAAGCCAAGCCAAGCCGAAGCTGATTCTACACCCGAACGAAGAGATAACGGCCCGCGGGATCCCTGCTGAACGAACCAGTGACGAGTTTCCGGTCGCCGTCCCATTTCATATCCCGGGACCTTCATCTTCATCCTGAAATGCTTACGCCTTCGTGCCACCGCGTCCCTTTCTAGACGTACGTATTCGTACGTGTACGTGCGTCTCTCGATTAATACATCCCCAGTCATCGGTATTGTACGGATTAGGTACAGACAAACAAGCATTTAGGAGGATACACCCCTCTCTCTCAGCTCTTCCGTGCCTCGTGTTGTACGAGTATCGTTACCCCTACCTTATATTCAACAAACAAACAATACCGCAATTACCTTTCTCGAACCCAAGCGTAAAGGAGAACATGTCCGCAGGGGGGTTCAGCAGGAGGGACGGAAACTGGCATCTACAGAAGAAAGGGCAATCCCATTCATACCCAATTACGCATTTGTACACTCGTAAGCCAGGTAGCACCGCCAGGACCGGTCAGATTCTCAATCAGGAAATCAAGCCCATAAACCCAGTGAGCTAGTTACCCACGCCCAAAAGGTCTCGAACGCTGATGGTGAAATCCAAAACAAATGCCCACATTCCTCCCCGCCAGGAGGAGTGACGATTCGACGGATGGAATCTCTCTGACATGTCAAGTCGAGAGTAGAGACACTGAAAAAAACAAAAACGAAACGAAGCTACGGACAATTAATTAGACTTGCGTCAAAGTCAGGGCTGGCGGGCCATTCTTCTCGAGGTAGCTGTCATGCTGGTGGTTCCTGCTCCCGTGCCCTCACCCCCATCCGGGACGGACACATGGAATGGAAGCGAATACCTGCCATCGTTTCGGGTTGAATCAGAATTGGGACCTGTCCTGCGTAGAAAAAAGTCTTGCCCCGCCCAAGTATACTTACTTACCTTAGGTAGGTAGGTAGGTACCTACCTTACCTCACGTAGTGCCAACTCCCTGTACCTTATCCTGAACTGCTGGCGAAGGTACCTTTCCGCGTGTACATACATTGCTCCTGGTAACGGTTCTCTTTATTGCCTCATTGCTTTTTCCACGTTGAGAGCGCACAAGCTCAAGAACCAAAAAGTTAAGTAGCCGTAAGGAACTTGAAGTCAAGTACGGATGAACACTGATTCAACAAGAACTGCTGAATCAACCAATGCCAACGACGCGGTTGAGCGCCCGTGTGGCGCACACCCATCCAGTCAACCGGTTTCGAGACGCACTGTCCCCAACCCGATCCGCGCGTCAGAAAGGGGGAAAAAAAAAAAAAACACACCAAGCCAACAAAAAAAAAAAAGACGTCGAATCGTCCAATGATCCAATACCTTGAAAGACCTGGGAAAATCCGCGCCCATACAGACTTAGACTTACCTCGGATGTGCACCTTGACCTTGGCCAGATCGGGGAGGGGGAAAGAGAGTCAGGCACAAAATCCACCCCCAACGTAACCAACGTTGTAGGAATAAAAAAGAAAAAGAAAAAGGGAGCGAAACTCTCATTACCGACGTCGACGCAACCTCGAGGTCCGGGCACCCGGCACGGGCAATGGCCCATGGCCACCCACGGCGGCGGGCGACGGGCGGAAGGGCGGCGGCGGACGGGGCTCACCCGGCAGCTAGGCCCCACCGGGAAAAAAGGAGGGCGGGCCATGATTACCCATTACCACTGAGGGGGAAAAAAAAGAAGAGACGCCCGGGCACCTTGGAAGTCCAAGAGAGAGGGAAAAAAAAAAAAAAGCCAAGATTCTCCACTCCTCATCTCCATCGCCGAGGGGATGCTAATCTCCCGCCCCGAGCTTAATCCAGCTCTGCTATACCATCGTCATCCCTTCTGAGCGTTAGTGTAGCTCCCTCCCACCCAAGTCTTGAAGTTTGCCGTGCGCCGTGTCAACCCAGTGCCTAGTGGCCTAGGTGCCTAGGTAGGTAATGCAACGTCCGAAGTTGGTGACTGACTTTTCATCACTCTCTCTCTCTTCCTTTCCCATTGTCCTTACCTTTGGCCATTTCCGGCTGGCAAGGGGGGGTCAAGCCACGAAATGGCGAGAGAGTGAGAGAGAGGAGAGGAGGGGTAATAGGACAACTCGGCGCAGGGCGTCATCTAATTACCCTGGTTCCCGGCCCCCTTCCCAAATCACCCCTCCGGCCTTCCCACACCCCAACGCGCAATAATCAAACAAGCGAGATAAGGTATCAATCTCCAAGGGGTTGAAACACGTCTGTCCGTCTCTGCAAAAATGCGTCTTGTCTTGTTTTTTGTCTTTTCTGCAGGGTATCATGATACATGTAAGATTGCCCAAAAGAAGCCAGCCCTAGATTTCAAGAAGCCAACAAGAGTGAAGATATTGCCAAAGTCCACCCTTCCATTTCGAGAAGAACTTGTCCAAATCGAGAAGTTGAAAAATAAAATAACTCCAACCTGAGTCTTAATGCTCTCACCAAACCCCCTTGATGATTCTCACTTCGCAGGTGGATTTTGGCCGGCCGTTGATGATTTCACCACACCCGACAGCTATAGGTACACCCAAACAAACAAATGCAGTGTTGACAGTACCATACACGTCAAAACACCAGGTGTGGGAAGAAAGAGAAGCAGAAAAATTGAATCCATGGTAAAACCCGAGGCTCGTCGGCTGTGGATGTACCCGCCCGCCTGAAAGAAGAAGAAAAAAGAATCGAAAGAAGTCAAAAAGTGCCGTGACCCGTGCATGCCTTTGGAAGAAGTGAATAATGCGCGCCTCCAGTTCCAGATCTTCTGAAAAGGCGTCAAGATGGGAGAAGAAATCCAAGCCTCTCTCGTTGAAAGCGAAATCATCGACGGCAGTCTGAAGCCGCCGTCGAATGCTCTCTCTGCCTTTTCCGGCCCCCCCACGCTGTTTCCAGTCAAGAGGGTAGCAAAGGCCGAGAGTCATAGCCGAAGAATAATGTGGCGGAATGAATCCGATAGAAGCGAAAAATTCGGAAGAAAATGTCGTACTCATGCATCTCGTTTCGCGAAATTTCGCCGTGATGGTATGGCTGAAACAAGTCGTAAAATTGGCCCGAGCCAAATTTCAATCAGTGCTGCCTGTCGCATGGCTGCTGATCCTGCGACCCCACGCGTCCATCTCGTCCGTCCACCCCTCACATTGGGGATCGTCATCGCTCCTCGCCCTGCCCTTGATAAGCTTCCGTTGGCGTCGGTCCGTACTGAGCCGCGTGCGATGGCTCTTCGGACAACAAGGATGAGACCGAATGTCCACCAACACTCCTCGGTGCTTGTTGCTGCTGCTGTTGCTGAGCAGATACCGAACTGGCGCTACCATACTCCGGTGCCGTGCTGAAGCTTGCGACTTGAGGAGACATGCCTCGAGGCGTCCCGAAGCTCTCACCTCGGCCACGACCCGTCGGCCGATACGACGAAAGATCGCTGCGCTGTCGTGTATGCCCCCGTCTTCGCCCCGGCGGGGGGTTCTCAAGCGTTGATCCACCGTGGAAAGGAGGCGACCGCAAGCGTTGATGTTGACTTGGCGGTGGAGGGGCTGGCTGCGGGCCTGTGGCCTTGCGCTTGTTCCTAGGAGACTCCCCTAACGGCCACACCAGCCAAGGTTAGCCTAAAGCGACTCTCTCTTTCGTTTGGTCTTGCTGGACGCACCGGAGGGTGTCGCAGGCTGAGTAGAGCCACCTCCGGCTTGGGATGTCGGCGGGTGCCAGTGGTGAAAGTAGATGGACGGGCTCGGCTGGGCCTCTTGTTGAGACTGCGCAGACTGCGCTGCTGCGTGCTGGTGGCTCTGCAGTGCCGACGGGCCTGGTGGGCCAGAATGGGGGACGTTCGTGTTAAGGCTGGGAAGGTTGCTAGATCCCAGTGGCCGAGACACTGAACCGGTCGAGGACAAAGTCGTTGCCCTTCCCCGCTGGGGAGAGCCCGGATAGGCGGGGAATCCGTGAGGTCCGGGGGCGGAGCTTGGGGTCGAAGGGACGCCCGTATATTGACCATAGGGCTGGGACTGAGAATCGCGGCGATGCTCGGGCGAAAGAGGACCTTGAGAAGGCAGCAGCTGGGGGTGCTGAGGCTGTCCCTGCTGGGCGAGAAATTGCTGTGCCCATTCCAGAGCCGCAGGAGGAACACCGCCTCCCATTCCGGCAAAGACAAGAGGGACGATGGGCGGGGGGATTCCGCCGCTCAGCGAGGTTCGTAGCATGTCGGCCTCGATGCGCCGTTGCTCTAGACGCAGAGTCTCTTGCCTCGTCTTCTCCTCTTCCTGTCTCCTGCGCTCTTCTTCAGTCTTTGCTGCCAGCCAGCTCCTCATGGAATCCTCGGCGCCTTGCCACTGCGGCGGTGGTCCAGGTAGCTGGCCCATCAGGTGGCCATGGCTAGATTGAGCTTGGCCGATGGATTGGGGCGCCGGAGGAGGTGGCGGAGGAGGAGCCGAGCTTGCGTGAGGCGGCTGGGGCGGCAAAGTCATGGCCGCCGGGGGAGGCAGGCCACGATGATGTGCCGACATAGGCTGGCCAGCTGGACTGTGACTACGGGGAATGGACGGCAGCAGCTTGTGCGAAAGGTGATCTTGATAAGCCAAGGGAGGCGAGGGTCGGGATGTCGAGGGCGGAGTAGGTAGGTCATGGACGGACTTGTAGCCGTAGTGTGTTGGCTGCTTAACTGTGAGCATGGTCATGTATACTCATGTGCTCCAGGTGTTTTTAAAAGTTGTTGAAGGTGAAATCAGACAACATGGGTGGCTGATATTTGTTTCTGGGGTTGATGTGTGTGTGTGTGTGTTTTTTTTGTTTCCTCGGGTTGTTGCGTGTGTAATCGTGTCGAGTCAAGAAAGTGAAGCTGAAGCTCAAGCTGCTGGTGAAGAAGAAGAAGGCAGCGAGCAGTCGGAGAAGAAATTGAGACAAAGGGGAGTTTGAAGGAAGGTCAAGAAGTGGAAAAGTGAGGAAAAAAGCTGCTGGCTGGCCAGTCAAGATGGGTGGAAGGAAGACAGGTGAAGAAAGTTTGAAGAAAAAACCCGAGGCGAGAGGTGAGGTAAGTAAGGTAAAAGGTAGGAAAGAACAAATGGAGGTATGGGGGGGTGCAGGTGGTGGAAATAACCTTTTTTACAGGCGCGAAGCTGGAAGGGCGGCCAGCTCCAAGTTGGGAAAGAGACTTGGGTTGGACTGGGAAGGGAAAGGGACAGACACCACCTCACAGACACCACACACCGTTCTCCGTACCGAGTACATACATACACGCCTACTCCCTACCTACGCCTGCCCTGGACACCTCTCTTTCCACCTAGGTAGGTATTTCACGCCCGAGAGGGGGGTACGCATCTTCCTCAGACTCCCACCCAGCAACAGCACAAGCACAAGCGGCAGTAGCCAGCAGCTTCTACCTATCCGCAAGGTAGACACATACTGCGTACAGAGTAGTAAGGTACTCCGTAGTCCAAGGTACGGAGTACCTCACTTTCCTTTCTCAAAGGACGAGAGGGACCGGAGACCCAGAGATCCAGAGACCCAGACCTAGACCCAGACCCAGACCCAGACCCGAACCCCAGGGCCTAGAGAGAGAATGAGAGGCAACTCCGTGCCCGGCTGGGACTAGTAAGGCACAGCAGCTTGCAAGGAACAGTCCAGCTAGCAGCCATGCCATTGTACGGATAGGTGTGTACGAATACTTAGTCCGGATAGTGAGGGAAAGGCGAGCCAAGGTCAAGGAAAGCAGAGTAATCACATACCATGGCACGCGTGGGCTCTTCGTTCATAGTCCTCGCCCTCGTCTCTCCCAGTCTCAGATACCTCACCTCACAATCCTGTACTGTATCCATCCGCATCGGGATTCGTAGTATAGACCAAAGGGCGGGGCGTACGGTGCTGAACCCAGCCCCACGAACGGGCCCGGCCTCATTTAGGCATGAAGACGTTTTTAGTGCCGTCTATGTAGGGCAAGATTAGGAAGGGCTGAGGTGGTTGCTCTGGGTTGGCACAGCAAGCAAGGCTGATGGACGGACAACTTGCATCGTGGAATCGATGTACAGACACGCAGTACTCGAGGCGGAATCACAGTCTAGGCTAACCCAGAACTTGGCGGTGACACTGACCCCCAATGTCCCTTCCCTTTGACCTGTACCGTAGATCTCCGGAGCCTCGAAACCTCTACGGCAGGATATGGGTTGAATCAAAGCGCCAGGTGCTGGCGATGTGCCGATGCATCGCTGGAGTAGTAACGAGAGCCAGGGCGTAACTGTGGGTATTGTAAATTGTGGTTTCTGGGAGGATGAGGATGGATCATGGCCATGGAGGGGGCAGGCAGGCACGCTGGCAGGCATTGAACGGCTTCTGTTCTTTGGAAACCCGCGGGCCCACGGGCGGGAAGAGTGACGGGGGTGTGTCTTGTACAAGTACAATGTGCAAGTGCCTGGATATGGAAATCTGCAATGTGTGTGAGTGTGAGTGTGTGAGTGTGTGTGTGTGTGTGTGTGGTGTAAGTTCCTCCTCTCAACAGAATACACCACATCGTAGCGTAGTCTCTCGTGTGTGCGCGTGTCTGTCTCCCTCTTGTGTTATTTCGCCATTTCCCTTTCCCAAGGAACCCCGGCCGGGGGTGCAGGTGCGGATACAGATGCAGATGCAGATGCTGGATGGAGACGCGGGAAAGGAGATGAACCACTCCAGCAAGGCCCGACTAATTCGACGAGGCGTGCAGGAATCACGGTATGGATGCCCAGGCCCATCCAAGGCCGTCGAGGTACTACGGATACTCAGGAGTCAGGAGTCAATCTAGGAGTCTCCAACTCTCCTGGCAAATTTGAATCGCAAGCACCACCCACAAAGTGATAAGTGCGGATAGTAGGAGAAAGCACAGGACAGAGAGAGAGAGAGAGGCATACGAGCCTAGGAGATGGCCCGGCCGTTTACGGACAGTTCAGGATAAGGCTCGGTGCGGAATGGATGGTGGTCAAGGTGCGTTGCCCGTGGTGGAGAATGACAGTGAGCCTGGTTTATTTCATTTACAACCAGCGCGTATCAGAAGAGATGACACATGGAGGGGGATGAGCACAGGGGGGTGCGCGTTGTTTGTGTCCAAGCCCAGCTCAGTCCAGTCCGCGGTCCCAACTCCCAACCCACAGATCAAGTGGCGCGAGGGGGTGTCTGCACGCCCACGCCCACAGGGACTCCTCCCACTCCCAAAACCCCAGCAAGGGCCCCAGGGAGGGGGGGGGTGATGGGGATATGAGGAGGGGTGTAAACCCGGGAACTGTGGCGAAGGCGGCTAGTCAGTATTGGGCCAAGATGGGGAAATCCCACACTGGCGTAGAATCAGACTTCAAGATGAACTGACGGCAGAGGCGAACGAGGAATGAGGAATGAGGAACGAGGGATGTGGGATGTGGATGTGGATGTGGGTGTGCTGTCTGTGGATGCTAGATGCTAGAGGGCCAGGATGCCGGATGATGGATGCTGCAGCAGAGACAGTTGGAAATCGGAAGTTGGGGGCGAGAAGTGATGTAAGAAATCTACCGATCCCTCTCCCAGGACCAGAAAAGGCTGCATGGTGGTTGGGCTTGAGTTACCAATGTCGAGAACACCGACGTCTTTGGACCGGCTATTGCCTTTTCTCAGCCAACCTCGAGCTGTTGTAGCAGTACTTCCTGCGCCAGTATCGGCTTCGTGTTACTGTCAGCTAGAAGTAGAAGTGCCAGCCCAATCATCACCACAGCTCTAGGGACTGTACCGTGACCCAACACCTACGGCTTTTGCAGCCAAAAGAAAGAGTTGAAAAAAATAAATAAACCGTGACCGCATACCTACAGTATCTATACTAGGCTCTAATACGAGCTAAAGAGCAAGAGCGGGGGTTAGACTGCGGTATCGTCGAAGTGAGACGAGAACAGGAGGAGACCAGTGTCCGGTGGCAAGGCACAAGCCACCCTCACTGACAGGATACGCACGACACGCAAGACAATGCATGAGCAACGCTGCGTATGACTACCAAGCGGTGCTGGCAAGCCAGCTCGAGTGAAGGTAGGGCAGGACGAGCCGGGACATAAGAACTTCGGGCCTTGGCCTTGATATTGACGTCCATTTGCTGGATGTTGACGCTACTACCGCCGATGAGACTGCTGCAGCTATTCCCTCTTCTGACTGCGCAAGGTGCTTCTTGCTTGCATCGCACACAGTCATCTTTGTCCCCTGGTCCGTCGATAATTCTCCGCGCCCTCATGCTTGGCATGCAGCTTTGTGACCTGATTATGTATAGAGACTCCGCCAGGAGCTGCCGTCGGTGGGTAAGCATTGTAGCTTCGCCTAGCTTCCCAAAGTGGGTAGGTGATTGAGGGGTGTCGTCGTCGGGAAACCGTGTACGCGTGCGAGTGCCGCTGTGTTCTGTTTGAATGCAGTTCAACATCCGTAGTTAGCAGGGATAGCCTGGAACGCACCTTTGAGGTAGTAGACAAATGCAGAAGTGTGTGAGCAGAGTTCGACCAGAGGCGCAGGGTCGATCCTGATGATGAGTTGACGACACCATCACCTGTAAGACAGAAGGAAAGAAAGAGGAGAAGTCTCAAAAGCGCATGAAGAGTTAGTTGAGAGAGAGAAAGAGAGAGAGAGAGAGAGACAAAGAGGTCGATATCAGGAAACTCGGTGACGAAAAACGTTCTCTAAGCTTGATATCAACCCATTTTGATCTGGCCCGTACTCGGGGCTTCGTCTAGACTCTGCGCATTGATTTCTCACTTTTGTATCCTCAAGCTCAATACGTACATCAACGAGATGGAGCTGGGCGGGGTTGTGGCCGCAGGTCAGCTGAGAAAGCGAGTTCGAGTGAGTTCACTCGCAAAGCTATCATTTTAGAGATACTGATTGGACGCTTTCGCTGCAGACGCGAATGGGACGCGATGCGGTCTCGTGCTGAAGCAGGCAAGAACAAGGATACGTCTCCTGGCTGTGCTGATGTTTTGTCTAGCCCCTTCTTGTCTCGTCTGGGGGCTTGCTGGTGCGTGTTCGAACATGAAAGTCGCCTCGTGGAGGAACCATAATGCGTTTCGGGGTTTCTCAGATGATATGTAGTATTTGCTGAGCTTCTTTTGTCTTCACTTAGCAACAGCTCACAGATCTCATCTATAGCTTATTGGACTATATGGTAGGTAGGTATCGTTTGATTCAACAAGCTCAGCCAAGCAGGGATATACGTACCTTGACTGCTGAAAGCGAGTTGAGTGATGGATGGGATGTCGAGCCCAAGATTCAGGTCTTGAGTTCGGCGCGGAGCTCCTACTCCAACGCTTGCGTTTCCGCGTCTGCCTCATGTACTCATCATCCTTGACCGTAGCAGCAGAGTTTCTGGCCCAAGAGAAACAACGAGGTATTGGTACTGTAGCCTTCAGTAAACAGACTCGAGCTCTGCAGCAGCAGCGGCGGCGGCGGCGGCGGCAGGTTGGAGTGGGGTTGGCTGTCCGTGGTCAAAGGGGATTCAAAGGAGGCCAGCCACAGTTGGTGGTTCAAGAACCAGCGGAGAGCT